GTTGGGTTGGGTTGGGTTGGGTGATGTTTCTCTGGGCTAGGACACACTTCTTGTAGAAACTATGGGCCGAGGTAGCAGGAAGGCTGAGCGAATATGGCTGCAACCAAAGCGTTGAAGTTCCAAATTGTGTAAGTTTGGGGTGGATCGTGGGGCAGAGCAGGAAGGATTTCTGGGGTCCCCCAAGATTCCCTAGCCTCACTGTCCAGAAATATTGGACACCGGGTGACCTTGAAGAATTAAGCAGAGCATGGGTGAGAGACACCTATGAAATTCCAGGCTGCAGGCTAGACTGGAATGGAAAAAATATCTCAGAAGAAAGCCACAGGAAGATGCTTCTGTACGATTGCTGAGAAACCACTTGATAACGATGTATTATCTCAGTTGAGGTTGGCTTGAGGGCAACCTACCTCTTTTTGCCTCTCTTTCCAAGTAGAGCAGGATCTCTGAAGAACTTAATGGACAACTTTTCCTCTCCCTTCCAGGATCTAAAGGAGTTTGGTTCTTTTCCATCTTACAGATTTTGCTCATGAAGCTGCAGCTCACGGAAGCTTCTGCCTTCAAATAAAATTTTTGAGTCAGGGAAGATGCTACCAGGACTCCTTCTGATCTTTTGACACCATAGATGGACAGGGCTGTCCTCCTACCACTGCAGGATTTGTGATTTATTTTTCCCCATTGGCTAACAGAAAATGGAGGTCTGCTCAGAAAGACCATTTGAATGGAGCTAAATCTGCTCCTGCTTCTAGGAGACTTACAAAGTTGAGAACGCCTCCTACTTGCTTAGCTTTGACCTGACTTGGCTTTCTTGGCTACAACAATCTGTTCTTCCCTAGTCTGGTCAGGAATTATAATTCCCAGCACCAGGTTGGAGAAAGGCTAAATTAGAGATTTGGACAGGGATCCGGAGACCCAAAGTTAGATCCCTCCCTTATTCAGGGTGGCTGGTCTTCCCAAGGATTATTGTGAAGACAATATTTGCAGGTTAGGAAAAGAATGAGGTGCAGTATTTGGGATTCTGGGATGAACTGAAGGATATAACTGGAACAAACGATTGTGGTTTGGAAAGAGCATTGATGGACTACAGCCATTTCCTCTGTTGCGTTTTCCCTCCCTGATCCCAACAGGCTTTCTGCAAAGATACACTGGAGTTCACCATGGCGAGTCGGGACAGGTGCAAGGCCTTCTGGAAGATGTGTGTGGAATACCACGCCTTCTTCCGCCTCTCCACGGAGCCAAAGTCAAAGCCCAAAGCTTTTCTTTGCAGCAAGGGCTCCAGTTTTCGTTACAGGTAATTTAGGGGGTGGGAAACGGGAGCTAAATTCTCTAGTCCGGTTTTCCTTGGTTGGGTCTGCCAGTGGCATTGAAGCAGTCCTGAGGAGAAGAAACATGAGAACTCTTTTACTCCTCTGGGAGTGGGCAGCTGATGGTCCAGAGGTGCCCCCCTGCCATTTTGTGATTCCCAAAACTCCCCCCGCCCCAAAGAGTAGCAACTCACTGGTTTTTTGCAATTCTATTTGTACCACTGCCAGTCAGAAGAGATGCCGCCACAATCTCCGAACTTACAGAAGAGAGTCCAGTTCGTGCACCCCTTGCCTGGACCAGCCCTACTATTAGAGTGTTTTTGGCTGGCTGATACTGCAGTACCATTACATGGTAGCCAACTATTCTTCAGATACAGGTCGTCCTCGTTTAGCAACCACAACTGGGACCAGTAACTCAGTCATTAAGCAAAGGGGTCACTAAGTGAAACTATGACTGAGCTTATGATCTTACTTCAGCTTTGCTTTACAGACCTGCAAAGGTCATAAATGCGAGGATTGGTTGCAGGGTTACTTTTTCATCACTCTCGTAATTGCGAATGGTCACTAAATGAGTCCACTGCTAAACGAGGACTACCTGTAATTTCTTTTTATTATCCAGCCACCACACAGCCATCGTTTAGCTATTCTGCTTCTAGACCTCACTGTGATCCTGAATATGAACGCTTGAAGAGATCACTGAACTCCACATATAGAAAGAGATGTACAACACGGGGATATTGTAGCCCAAAAAAGCGGGGGAAAGAGGATAAATGTCCTAAATTAAATTCACAGTACGGCTGTCCTCTTGTGCAGGCCTCTTCTTTTTCCAGCTGATCTTACTACAGTCACATGAAGCCCAGGGTAGTTTCCAGCTTCTCTTCTCCAAGCCCACTTTTTGGGTGGGTCTGGAACGACCCACCCTATCCTTGCATCTTCTCATGATCAGCCCAGAGCCCCCTTCTCTGAAATCCGTGCATGGTCTTGCTCTTCGCTTCGCTTTCTTTCCCTTCTCTTCCCTGTGCGGAATTCTAAACTGTAAGCTCCTGGGAGGCAGGGAACTGTCCCTCTCCAGCGAACAGCTGGTGGAAGCAGCTGAGGCTGCCTTGGGTGAGTAAGGGAGAGGCAGCCTCTTTTAACTATTGCCTGTCTTTGCAACGACAGTGGAAGAACCCAAAGGCAGCTGCTGGAACACGGGACCAAGGGGAAGCAGAAGAGCTTGCCGTTCGAGAGGTATTACCTTTCTGAAGAACGTTCTTTCCTCTACCCAACCCACCCATCCTTCCAACCTCTTTCCTAGGTTTCTGCTCGCATCCTTCTTCCCCATAAAGGCCTTGTAGGGTTATCTCAGCAGCAACAGTTCAAGGGAAAGGGCAAGACAAAACTAAATGAACTTGTTGGAAGAACAGCTGGGTTTTCTTGAGGGTTAACGCAATGAACAGCCCAGCAGAAATTGGCTGCACTGCTAACTCACGAAGTCCCAAATCGTTGGTATAATCTTGCTGGGCGAGACGGGTTGGCCCCGAATCGCTCCTCGCTGTGCTAATAATCCTCCTGCAAGTATCATCTTGCAGGGCGTAGAAGGAGAAGCAGCTAGTCAAAGGGCTGGAGGAAGGATGGCCAAGCTTCCTCTGCACAGAACGGAAAACAGTTTAAAACATCAGCACGCTATGAAAGGGAAGCCTCGGGGGGGTTAGAATTAGACATGGGGCAGAACAGGATGGTTTTGCCCTGTTGGAGCTGCACCGGTTCCCCACTGCTGAAGAGACAAGCCACCATGCTGGGTCCAGAGCAGTATTTCTCAACCTTGGCAACTTTAAGATGGGTGGACTTCAACTCCCAAGTTTGAAAAACACCGTTCTGGCTGGGGAATTCTGGGAGTTGAAGTCCACCCACCTTAAAGTTGCCAAGGTTGAGGAACACTGCCATAGTGCATGGAAATGGATTCCACACATCCACCACAGATCTGACATCATTTTGCTTCCAACTCTGGTAATTTATGCCCGTATGTAGAAACTTAAATAAGTTAATAATAAGTTTAATAAGTTTCTACACATGGGCATAAATTGCCAGAGTTGGAAGTGCTACATGAGCTAAGGCTTAACCGGATCAGTATTCAGTATAATATACCTCAGCTTTTCCAAGCCAGGTGTGCATGACATAGTCATGCTGGCTGGGAATTCTGGGAGTTGTAGTAAAAAATACCTGGAAGATGCCTTCTTATGCATTCCTCCATCAAGTCTTTCCTTCACCTCGTTCTCCTCCAGATGCTAGTGGTCCGGCATCTGGATCTAGCTCAGCTAAAGCTGTTTTCCAACTAGCAAATTCTTTATATTAATTTGACTGAGTAATTAACTGAGCTTACAACTGGTTAGTGATTTGGTTGGGGGCAAATCATATGGAACGTTGAAGTTCAGTTGATGTCAGTGGCAGAGATGAAAAGTATGGCTTACTTTCACTCTTTAAAATCAGTAAAATTCAATAGAGGCACTTTTAATGGTGGCTGACTTGACCATTACCTTTACAAAAAATATATATATACTTTTTACAAACTATTTTTCTATGGCTACAGGACTGCAGGAAAACTGTGGCAGATGTCTGAACACAGGAGGTTTTCACATTGGCTGAATAGGCTCCCCTGTCAGAGCTGAATCTTTTTTTTTTTTGTAAGCCTTAAAAAACAGAAAACTTAAAGGAGTGACTTATGGGTTACAAGGTGTTTTGTTGGTTTTATATTTCAGGAAACGCTATTCCTCTTGGTACCATGACAGGCAATGCCGGTCCTCCCCGGATCTCCTAACAGATGTTTCCAAACAAGTATGTAATTTGGGTCAGGGTATCTGTTGGTGGGGTAAAAGCAAGGGTCGAGGTGGCAGCCATCACTGCATGATCAAAACACCACCCTGATGCATGTTAAAAAAGGAGCAGAGCTTTGATCATGCTGTCCTGACCACCACCTCGACTTTTTTGACACCCACCCCCCGTACCTCTGCTTTGAGATGGGGGTGAGGGGAATTGTCTGGAATAAAGACTGGAGATGATGTAGATGATTTAAGGCCATGCTTGGAAGACAAGCCCACTTAGCTTGACCAGCAACCACAAAGCCCAAATAAGTCTCACCATTGTTTACACAGCTGGTTTCCCATCTATGTTAACCTCTCCCTTCTGGCTATGTTGGACTTCAGGTCCCATAATTTCCAGTAAGCATGGCTGGGGATTGTGGGATGTGAAGTCAAGCACATCTAGAGGTTTTCGGTTTGGGGAGAGGCGCTAATTCAGATCCAACAATATAATAAAAGACAGGACATTCATACCAATGTCCCTAAATTCTGTCCCCCTTTGAAAGACGTCTCAAATCAAATTACTTAATCAAGTGAACAATTTCAGCCCATTTTCTTGGATTTGGTGTGGTTGAAAGGATGGGACGGGGGTGGTCTGCCCCTGTTCCAACCCCTCCTTACAGTCTGGCCCAAACAAGCCTAGAAGGAGTTGCTGAGCCCCTCTTGGTGACACAGCGGCATCATAAACGGCCTGGTGAGGCCCTTAAGAAGGTGGGGAGTTGTGGCCCGTAAGCCTCAACCTAGCTACTCATTCGTGCGTCTTAGGTGAAGCACCGATGCCTTGCTTCTCCCACAGATGGAGGACTTGCGGCTCGTCTACGGCACCATGGGAGGCTATTATGGTACAAATGGCATCCACACTTCTGAACCCATGCTAGACCATCGGCGGAGGAACTCGGCAGTGGAGGTGATCTTTGCAGATGAATTAGAGCGGTCTAAGCCTGAAGCCGATCCAACGCTGCTGCTGCCCCACTCTCAGAGCAGCTCTGCCTTCCCGGTGGTCTACGCGGAGCTGGAACGTGATTGGGAACCAGCCAGTATCTATGGGCAAAGGAGCCCCATGACGTCTTTCCAGCCCAGCTCCAAGCTTGGTGGCAACACCAAGAGCACTTCTATGAGCAACGTGAGAGACCTGAGTCCAAGGCAGCAACTTATGTACACCGATGTCCCCTACATGGCAGCTTCCAATCAACAGCTGGACATGGCTTCTCCACCAGTGCTCTTCTACATGGACAGGCCACCTCAGTACCCCAGAGGTCCTACCATTGACCATGCCGAGGAAAGAGTGGTTGAGGTAAACACCTGTGAGACACCCATGAAGCCACAAAGAAATCCAGGGGCAACCCAGACCAAGTCAATGGAGCATAAGACCCTGCCCCAGACTACCTACATGAGCAACCTTAGCATGGAACAAGATGACGATGAGAGTGTCTTTGATTATAGTGTTCAGGAGGTTCCCAAAAGATCTTGGAGCCAGGCTGATGTCAAAGCCATCAGATTCCCTTGTGGCTCTGAGTTCCGCCCTCTAGGCCCATGCCCTGTCTTGACCAGCAGAAAGATTGACCTCTTGCAATGCATGCTAGCCCAGCAACCATTTCCAGAGCCTCCCGGAGTCCAGCGAACCATGGAACGCTATGCGGGCAGTGGGACCGAATCCAGTGACTCTGATTCGGACCTCCTCCCAGACTACTATTCACTCTATGGGCAAGTTCTCAAAAGACCCAGGGTGCGGATCCACCTGTCTTCAGGGAGCCTTCAGCTTGAGGGCGATGAATCTCTGGTTCCTGCCACCATTGACGACACTGACAGCGCATCCAATTATTTTATGTAGGCAACAAAACAATGGCACAGGTCTAAAGTATATGGCGTATTGCTAGATTTTTCAGGTAGGATATTTGCAAATAAAAACACTGTCAAATCCATTGACACGGATCTGTTAAAGGAAAAGTAGAATTGGTTTTATATATCAGGTTTTTTTTCCCTAAAGGGACAATTCCAATGATCTAGTTCATATTTGGGGGGGAGCAATAAACATAAATCTACTGTGGCAAATTAAGAGCCTTCTGTCAGATTTAGGG